CGGCCTATTGGGGAATAGTTTTCAATTTTAAATAATGTACGGGTTCTTAACTGTAGTAAAATATTTACAGTGCATCATCAAAACTTTTAAATCTGTGAATAGTTGAAAGTGAACTTGATTACTGCATTTTAAATAAACAATTTTATTTCTGATTTTAGCTGGTATTGTGGAACAATGTTATTGCAAGTTTTAATAGACAGTCTAAATAAGTTAAAATATCTTACAAAACAATCAAAAAATCCTATACATTGTAAGCTAAGTAAAATGCAATAGAAAAAGAACTCCTTTACCATTTTATATATTGTAAAGGGCACAGAAAAGGGAGGAAAGTAACTAATTGCAATCGTGATTGGTCAATCTCTGGAAATGAGGTCAAATCATTCAAACATCACTGGCGTTAGCTCCGTGGCGTTAAAATCTGGGGTCCGCAGGCAGCGTTAACGATACGGAGCCTGCCTTTATGAGTGGCGTTTAGTAACGCCACTGCCCAGTTCACACACAAAGGCGTACGCTACGCCAGCCTTACGCCGTGTACGTGTGTGAACATACCCTAAGACGAAGAAGCTGAGAGTAAGGAATAGCATCCTTACACGATGGTGGTTGGGACGATTTATAGTTCAGGAACGTACCGTATGTGCATCGGTAGATTTATAGCAAACACAGGTAGAGAGGCGATTATCGGAAATAGAGAGTTCTATGTCGAGAAACGTAATATGTGTGGACGAGATGTCATACGTAAACATGATGGCCGGATAAGAGTTCAAAACATAATCAATTTAAAAATCATTCAGTTCATCAAGTGAGCACGAAGTCGCGCCAACACCATCGTCGATATAACTTTTAAGGGAAAGGGGAGGGTTGAGTCAGAATTGCTAATACTTTATCAGCATTGTTTAACAACTTTATCAACATAATGTGTTACGTATCATATTGTAGCACATGATGAATGCTTATGATAAATGCATATTGATTTGCACCAGTTGCCATTTCAACCGAACAAGGAATCTGTATGGCTAAACATGGGAAAAAAGTTACTCAAATGGCCAATCGACACCAAACTCGGGGACAAGATAAATTTGTAAAATACACACAAAACCATGTACTCAGATTTTTCCCATGGCAACCAGACTGCAACCAATCAGATTTTATTATGCCGTAATTAAAAAATGCAACATGCCAAATTTCATTATGATCGGATATTGCGTTTGAGTTACAGTTGTCATGTCAGCGATTTTGCATTATTGCGATTTTAAGATATAGCCATCTAAAGTTTAGTCATGAAAAAAACACAAGTTGCTGCACATATATATATATATACATATATATACATATAATATATATACATATATATATATAGATATACATATACATACATATCTGTCTCTTATACACATCTAGATGTGTATAAGAGACAGAATTCATATCCACACCTGTCAAAACATATTAATATTGTGGAGTGGTCGCCAGAACGTGAACTCTTTCTCTAGAGGTTCAGGGAAGTAGTAATGGTCTAACAATAAATACCATATGTTCATGTTTCAATACAGTTTATGGGAATCATTTTCATTATGGTGGCGCCCTTTATGCCCTGGCGCATGAAATAAAACTAGTGAAAAAAGGCTTGGCTGTCAACTGAGTTGAAAGCCTAATCTAGATCACATATGCAAATCAACATTTTAATTTGACTTTGAGGGTTTTCTAGACTTGAGGGTTTATCTTCTAAAATGTATCTACATGGTGAGTCCTACACTATAAAATTTGTGCTCTTCAAAGGAAACTAGCTTACCTTCACAATATAATAAATTCCGCCATAAATTGCGTAGGGCGGGAAAAGCAACGCAAACACCAAATGAATAGCAGCAGCTGCTCCTGTTGTACCCATCAAATCTAGGACAATTACAGGAACTGCTATAACAGTTGGAACCTACAATATTAAAATAATGTAGTGGTTTAATATAATAGTTCCAGTAAACATCTCTCTCTCTCTCTCACCTAACATGTTTTTTTTCTCGCTATAGCCACTCTCGAATAATCGCAATAATCACTGTGGCGTATATTAGAGCAAATCTATTTTGAATATACTGTACATCAC